GATGACGCAGACATGATAAACCTGGCCAATCCTTGTAATAGAATAGAATAGAATAACAAGAGTTGGAAGGGACCTTGGAGGTCTTCTAGTCCAACCCCCTGCTTAGGCAGGAAACTCTACACCACTTCAGACAAATGGTTATCTAATCTCTTCTTAAAAACTTCCAGCGTTGGAGCATTCACAACTTCTGGAGGCAAGTTGTTCCACTGATTAATTGTTCTAACTATCAGGAAATTTCTCCTTAGTTCTAGGTTGCTTCTCTCCTTGATTAGTTTCCACCCATTGCTTCTTGTCCTACCCTCAGGTGCAGAATAGCTATTGGAGAATAGCTTGACTCCCTCTTCTTTGTGGCAGCCCCTGAGATATTGGAACACTGCTATCATGTCACCTCTGGTCCTTCTCTTCATCAAACTAGACATACCCAGTTCCTGCAACCGTTTTTCATATGTTTTAGCCTTCAGTCCCCTAATCATCTTTGTTGCTCTTCTCTGCACTCTTTCTAGAGTCTCAACATCTTTTTTACATCGTGGCGACCAAAACTGGATGCAGTATTCCAAGTGTGGCCTTACCAAGGCATTATAAAGTGGTATTAACACTTCATTTATTTAATTAAGAATAACAGCTGCTTTAGACAAGCAACAAAGGAATACTATTATTTTCACAGCCTTCTTGTGATCTCATGGAGATATTTGGAAGCTGTGGCTCAGTACAGAAGAATGGATGAAATGGAATCTGGTTTTAATCTACATTTAATATTTCAAAATCACCTGTGTCCAAAAAATCTTGTTAAATTGAACAAGATCTTCTGAGCAGGTAGGATGTAGAGTAGCTTTTCTCAGCTATAGCTCTGGTTATGATCTCCATAAATAAATAAAGGGTTTGGATTCATTGATTTCTATGGATTTTATTATACTAATGGATCAGAAAGGAAGAAATAATAAGAATTCAGAGAGAATAGATGGGGGCAGGGCCAGTCAGAATTTTTACTACCGGTTCTCCGAACTACTCAAAATTTCCGCTACCGGTTCTCCAGAACTGGTCAGAACCTGCTGAAAGCCACCTCTGATCTTTTGTGTATCATCAGGTTATCATCTTATAAAACTTCAGCCAGCAGTAATCTTTCTTAGGGAAAAGATACACTCTTTACTTCAACCCTAGAAATGAATTTGTATCATAGGTTTAAGTCTTTCCTCTGGGGAAGGAGAGAGGGGCTGTGCAGCACTTCAGAGAACCCAGGTATGTGCAGGTAGCGATGCTCAGCAAAGAGCCGCGGTGGCTCAGTGGTTAGAGTGCAGTACTGCAGGTTACTTCTGCTGACTGCCAGCTGCCTGCAATTTGGCAGTTTGAATCTCACCGGCTCAAGGTTGACTCAACCTTCCATCCTTCCGAGGTGGATAAAATGAGGACCCAGATTGTTGGGGGCAATAGGCTGACTCTGTAAACCACTTAGAGAGGGGCTGTAAAGCACTGGGAAGAGGTATATAAGTCTAAGTGCTATTGCTCTTTTTGCTTGGTAAAAAGGGAAAGTTAGCTACCAAGTTCCCAATCAATACATTTATGAAAAAGTTAGAAATGCTAGTCGCAGTTTAAATCTACCTAAGACTTAACACTTAACTAAAGTATAACAACTCCACTAAGTGCTATTTGCTAATTTTCAGATCAAATGAATCCTGGAAGGGCCTCCCTGTGCATTGCAAAAGCAGATTTTTTCTGTTGAATCCAAAGCGCTATCCAGCCCTAAAAGAATACAGGTAGTTCTCGACTTACAATCAATTCGTTTAGTGACAGTTCGAAGTTACGATGGTGCTAAAAACAGTGACTTATGATCAGTGGTGGGATTCAAATAATTTAACAACCGGTTCTCTGACCTAATGATTTCTTTCAACAACTAGTTCACCAAACTGCTCAGAAAGTTAATAACTGGTTCTCCTGAAGTGGTGCGAACTGGCTGAATCCCACCATTGCTTATGATCAATTCTCAACAGTTATCGCCATCACAGCTTTCCCAAGATCACATGATCAAAATGACATTTGGCAACCAGAATTCAGCATCCCAGGGTCATGCAAGTGTTATTTGCAGCCTCCCCAGCCAAGCAAAGTCAGTGGGGGAAACTGGATTCACTTAACAATCACACGATTCAGAGCGGCAGCGATTCACTTAACAACTGTGGCAAAACAGGTCGTAAAATCAGCAACTCACTTAACTAACCTTTGCTTAGCCACAGAAATTCTGGTCCCCAATTGTGGTCCTAAGTCAAGAGTTACCTGTAATTGAGTCAATATTTTATCAGGCACCTGCATAGATAATAAAATTACAGTCAGATGCTACCCTTTGAGGGCTATTTTGGGAAGTTATTACTGCAGTATTTTCTCTACAATCATGGCAAATCCTTGAGAAAAACTAGTAAAAATGGTGTAATGCAGGGGTGAAATTCAGCAGGTTCTGATTGTTCTGGAGAACTGGTAGTGGAAATTTTGAGTACTTCAGAGAACTGGCAAATACCACCTCTGGCTGACCCAGAATGGGATGGGAATGGAGATTTTGCAATATCCTTTCCCCAGGAGTGGGGAGGGAATGGGGATTTTGCAGTATCCTTCCCCTGGAATGGGGTGGGAATGGAGATTTTGCAGTATCCTTCCCCTGCCACGGCCACAGAACTGGTAGTAAAAAAATTTGAATTCCCCCACTGGTGTACTGCATGCAGTGAGAAATTTTTGGGATTTATTGGGACATTTGATAATGAAACTCATAAATATTTAAGTCTTTTGAAAAATTCTTCTTTAAGCATTAGTGTTGAATTTTGGGTGGAAGTTGAGATCAGGACTTCAAATCAAGTGATATATCATGGCTGCTTTCAGGATTTCTCCCAATTTCAAACTGAATTTAGTCTTCACAAGGAAGCTTCAATGTCAGCATGTGGCAATGTATGGTGGAGAACACGTTTTTCGTCACCTCAGACACCCGAGTTGCTCTCTTATCTGATGGAATCCATGACAAAATTAAAACATATCAAAAATCTTTTATCAAAATATGATAAGGATATTTTTAAAGTAGACATTTCTGAGATATTTCAAACAAGGACTAAAGCATTTCAATGAAGCTTCATCAATGGTTCAGGTCCTTAACAATACTAAAATGGTATCCATGGACCCAAGATTAAAGATGGTTCTTGAAAATTAAACTTAATTTATAAATTAAAATTCTATCTCGGATGTACAGAACTCCCCAGATAAGATATCTAAAAGATGGACTTTTTATATTGAGGATGACAAAAAGGATTCACTGATCCATATGATATGGTCAGATGAATATTTTATTTATTTATATCCTGCCTTTATTATTTTTATAAAGGCAGAGAACATATCTAATACTCTTTCCTTCTCCTTTCCCCCCTCACCTGTGAGGTGAATTGGGTTGACAGTGAGTGACAGGCCCAAAGTCATCCATAACTAAGGTGGGACTAGGACTCAGTCTCCATGTTTTTAGCCGGGTGCCTTAACCCCTAAACCAGGGGTGTCAAATTCAATTTCATTGAGGATCGCACCAGGGTTGTGTTTGACCTGGGGAGGGGGCAGGGGGAGCGTGGCCATCTCGACTTCACTTGTGTCGGGGGCGCCTGTGGTGGCCCAAGCGCTCTGCCAGAGAAAATGGGCTCCCGAGCTCAGTTTTCGACTGTGACGGCTTCCTGCAACCCTCTGCCAGCAAAAATGGAGCTCGGGAAAGCTGCAGAGGCTGGCAGAGACACTGCGAACTGATCCTTCGCTGTTTCCAGGGCAGCCCCATGGACCAGATCTAAGCACTTCCCGGGCCAGATGTGGCCCCTAGGCCTTGAGTTCGACACCCCTGCCCTAGACTGTCCTGGCTCTTTAGTGGTTTTTTTGGGATACTTTATTAATGTATACAGGTAGTCCTTAATTTATGACAATTGGGACCAGAATTTCCACTGTTTAGCAAAGTGGCTGTTAATAAGTTTTTATAACCTTTTAAGTGAACCTGGCTTCTCCCATTGTCCTTGCTTGTTGGAAGCCAGTGGGAAGTCAAATGGCGATCACATGACCCCATCATGCTCCAACTGTTGTAAATACATGCCAGTTGCAAAATGACTGAATTTCAATCATGTGACCATAGAGATGTTGCAAGAGTTGTTAAGTGCGAAGATCGGTTTAACAATGGCTAAATGAATAGTTGTAAATTGAGGAGTATCTATAGCAGCGGATTAACGGGAAAACCTTTAAATAATGAAGATGCTAATGTAATTTTAAACTATATAGTATTGCTTTTGAATCTGTATACTAGAAATTATGACTATTGAATATGCACGATGGCTAAAAGAATAATATTGAGAAACAATAATAATATTGAGATTATTCTAGATGTGAAGGAATGGTTGTTGGAAATGTGTGATCTGTTTTGGGAAAGGGAGTATTTTCTGCTGCTGAAAAAACCCAGAATGCAGATATATCTTCGTGTGGTATTATGGCGGAGATTTTGTGACATTTTTCACTAATATTTGGTACTGTAATTATATTACAGTAGTGCATTTATTATTCAACCAGTACTATTGATAAGGATAAAATACAAGGTAGATTTCCTTCTGTTTTTTACTTTCTTGTTTTGCATTTCTAGTTGGTTTGGGGTTGTCTCTTTTTTAATCTTCAGGGTTTGTTTGTTTTTTTGTTTACAGATGTTTTTGCGAATTGTGCGTCAGTATGTACACATAATACATTAGAAACATTTTTAAAAAACGAAAATAAAAATTATCTTCATATATAAAATAAAGCCAATTAATTTAACATCTGAACATGTTGGCGTTCCAAATATTGCACGCCGAAGTTCCCATGAAGAGCATTAGACAGTGTGCGGCATCAGACATCTGAAATAAGACTGCAAAACTCCACAAAATCATAAAACCATGGAATTACAATGTAAACCAGCCCCCTGAAGTCATGTTTGCTGCTTTTGAGTTCAGCCTGTCCCAAGGAAGACAACCCAGACATCACTGTGTTTGTATAAAAGATATTTACTTCAATTATCACACCTAGGGTGCTAGTGAATAATAATAATAATAATTATAATAATACATCATGTGAGTTTCGTACAGTGATATTGCTTCTCCATATCATATAGGGACTGTTGTACAGTGCTGAGAACATACATTGGCTAACCCAGGTTGGGAAGAAAATACCCCTTCCCACCAAGGGAGGAAGTCTTCTCCTGCTCTGTCACTGCCAGCCATATAAAACTTTTCTCTCTCTCTTTTTTTTTTTAATAAACTTTTGAATAAGAAATAAAATGTTACAAAAGATGAAATCACAGCAACACAACAGGGCAGCTTCTCTCAAAGCTACGTGTACAAAAAAAAAGAAAGAAAAGAAAAGAAAAGAAAAAAGAAAAGAAAAAAAGGCTTTTTTTTGGTCAACTGGGTCTTTGTGAGGGTATTTTCATTAAAATTGGTGATTCTGAATATAAGAAACGAGCTTCTAAAAACACCTAAGACTTAGTGCGTTACAGGAAAAAAATAATATATATATCTATTTATATATTTATATATATATTTATAAAATACTGCTAAAAATGTTGGACACCACAAGTACACGGGGATAAAATGGAGCTTATCAATATTTTTTTTTTAAAAAGAAAATATTCTCAGGAAAAAAAATACACCTTTTTTTTTGTGTTTCGAGTTCATTTTTGTGCTGTGTTAGTAGTCAGGGCAAGTCCAAAGATTAGCCCAGTAAAATGGCAAGTAGTTATTGCACAAATGCAAAAAATAATAATAATAAAAAATACAAATAAAATAAAATAAAAACAAATTCTTCAGAGCATAACTAAATGGCAAAATCTTAGGCACCGCCCTTCCCCAATTCAATAGGGTTGGAATATGCAAGACCTTCCAACTGGATTTTGTGTCTGTGTATCTGCATGTCCAAAAATAAAAATAAAAAATAAAATAAGCAAGGCTGCCATTTACTTTGGAATTAAAAGTCCAAATTTGCAGATATGACATTCCTCAGAGGTTTGTTCAGAACAAGATTACACAGTGCCTGATTTTTTGGGGGGGGGGGGGAGGGGGGAGGCTGGGGGTGGGGGGGGGGGGGTGGGAAGATCAGCAGAAAACGGCTTTTAAAATTGGAAATGCATAGACTATTCAGAGAGAAATTAACAAGAAAATCTTTCACAATAAAATCTTTCTTTTGTAAAAAGCTTCTTTCCTCCACCCCTTGTCGTTTTCTCCAGGTTCCAACTGCCTGACAGGATGTGGATGGGGATGATGGGTGACTTGTGAGCTAGTTTTCCTATTGGAAAAATGGAACACCAGCATGCCAGAAATGGATGCCTGCAGCAGGGCAGTCTTGCCCCAAAGACCAAGTGCCATTTTACTTCTCACTTCCAGGGCCCTGCCATGTCCCCTCTCAGAACATGGCGGCATCTTACAGGGGTGTCTACCTCTGTCACATAAAATGGATCTTTTATTATATGCTTTTTTTTTTCTTTTTAAACAAGGACTTTTCAACTGTTTTCTATTTTTCCATAAACTGCCTCTCTTCAGTACAGGGAGTCCTCGACTTATGACCACAATCGAGCCCAAAATTTCTCTTGCTAAGCAAGACATTGTTTTAAAGTGAATTTTGCCTCACTTTACGATTTTTCTCGCCACAGTTGTTCAGCGAATCTGGCTTCCCCACTGACTTTGCTCGTCAGAAGGCTGGAAAAAAATGATCCACGTGACCCTGGGTCACTGCAACCGTCACAAATATGAGTCAGTTGCCAAGCATCCGAATTTTGATCACGGGATGCTGCAATGGTCGTTAAGTGTGAAAAACGGTTATAAGTCACTTTTTTCAGTGCTGTTGTAACTTCAGTCACTAAACGAACTGTTGTAAGTCGAGGACTACCTGTATTACCCTCACGCAGAAGAATTCCACACTGTACCATTCCTTTTCCCCATATTGCTGATAAACAATTCAATCTCTTTTCCTTCTAAAAAGTTCTCACCTTCCCCACACACACACATCGCTGTTAAGTGTGCAAAGAACCTTTATGGCCAGCTAATCATTAGGCAGAGTGGTGTACCTAACACCATCAAAGGATAAAACATGAAACTACCATGGTGGGAAGAAAGACATACAAATGGTTGCTTTGAGATCTATATTATTTCTGAGTTATTTTTGCTTCTAAGGTTTAAGTCCCACTTCCCTCTCTCACTGTCCCTTTCCAAAAGATAATTTACTAACAAATCCCAAAACAGGTTGAGGTGAACCCTAACCTTCAGGTCACCAAAGGGTCTAGCTGAACATTGCCATGCACAAAGATAGGCAACGACATGCCCTCCTGATGCTTTGGATTGCAATACCCATCCGCCCCGATAGCACAAGCAATGGCAAACTATTGTGGGAATTGTAATCCCCAACACTGGATGGCTTGCCATTGCTGTACCATAGAGTCTAGCTCAAGAGAGTCAACAAGCAGTAAATGCAGAAAACGAAGAGGAGAAAACTAGTAGGAGATGTCACTCAATGAACACCGCTAACGTACGGTAGTATGGTCCATGCTGCCAGGCAACCTCATAGCTAGTTATGGGGATTTTCAAAAGTCATGCAAAAAAAAAAAAAAGACAACTTGCAAACTCAGGGTAGAAACCACATAGAGGCTTAAGAGCAATCTTGGTAGAGGAAAGCCGTCTTTCAGAGGGAAGTATGTTTTAAAAAAAAAAAAAAAATCTCAATACGTTTTGGGAAAGGGAAAAATGCCTGTTCATGGATTCACTCTCTAGGCTCAAGGAGGCTGAGGGCCCTTCAAACATCTCATAATTCTGCCTTGGATTCTTATGCATTCTTGCTCCCGTTTTTCTTATCCTTTGAAACTCTTCAGCTCAAAATATCTTTAAATAAATGTTTTTTTGTCTTTAAAAATACATATTTACAAACAACCCAGATATACAAGAGTCTATGGGTCTTGACTGAAGCTCATGTCCGTAGTTCATTTGCGATTTATGCAGAGGAACTTATTCAGATGAGAGTGTCCGCAGACAGTCTGCAGCCAAGACTATTAGGGGCAAAAGAACAACTGTATTAAGGGTCATTATGCTTTACATAAACACATGCTTGAGAGGCAGTTGAATAAAAATCAAATCGCTTTTAAGTGCTAAATGGGACAGGAAAGCCGAGGCATTTGTTCTGTTTGAAGAAGTCCCAGTTAAACTGGAATGAGCTTCTCTTGAGTGCTCCAATTTGAAAGACTCAGGAATGCTTTGGTAGGCAGAGGTTATTCTCTGGATGTGGATGATTATTAGGTTGCTGCCATTGTGTTTATCTAGCAATACTATTGCAGAATTATCAGGAGAAGGAATTCTGCAATGCGCAGCTGCAGTACCCCAAAGTGTCTATGTGAGTGGAGGAGGGCTAGCAAATTATAATTTGATCACCATCACTCTAAGTGCCTCTCTCGTTTATTGATTGGGGCTCTGTGACGAGAGTTTAGTCTAGAAGCGAAAGAGAATGGATAAAGATGGTTTAGGGAGTGGAAATGAAGTTACAATGGGCAAGTAAGCAAGCAGAAAATCCTTCCGGTTTTGTCAAGAACGTCTAAAAAAAGTTTGCCTGAAAGTATGGAACAGAATGAAACTTGAGGAAGATGCGACAAGCTGAAGGGACAAAAGGAGAAGAGTATAAGAGACAAAGTTTTTTGACAATTGTAAAGCCAAACTCCTTGGGCATGTGCCCTGACCCATGTTTTTAATTATAAAGGGTCATATTGCACCCTGATGGACATAAATGCACAATGCCTGGGAAGAAAGTCTAAAGCAAAGACCCATGTAAGGAACACATCATTTTCTCTCAAGGAAACCAATGCTAAGTGGTTATGGCACGATTCTTCTTTTGGCCACCATGTGCCAAACAACAGATGGTTTACACTTTAGCATGCCCAGAATTAACAGTGATCATCTCTTACTTTTGAAGAACAAGGGGACAAGTTCATTCAATTAACATTTATTCATTTTATAAGCAATTCTGTCATTTAAAGTTCTGCAGGTTATGAAAACAAGGGGTGCCGATTCCAGCTCAGCTCGTTTAGAGTTACACAGAGGAAGTAGGATGTATCTTGCATCTAATACTTAAATTAGCTAAAGCAAGCCTTTGATCTCTGGAAATCATGGATTCTTTCCTTTTGAGAGAAAAAGGGATGATCTAGGCATCTGATTCCATTACTGTAATCTTTTACAAGCAATAAAAGGATAGATGATTGATTTGAGGATCTGAGAACAGGGGCCCTTCAAAAGCTCTTGGGACTCCAATTTCCATCAAGCCCAAAGAACATGACTGAGATACAATGCTCAACGACAATGGGCAGTGAGGTACAACAAACTCTGAAAAAGGTTCAATTAATATTCCTGCAGTTTTTCTATTGATTATCTAGTGTGTCTAATCACCGACAAGTTGTAACTGTAATTAGAATTGTCTAGAATATCTTTCTGGTTGAAGACTATGGGTGTTCAGCAGAGCAACAGGCTGCTAACGTAAGAGAGGCTGGTGTAGGAAAGCAGCAAGACAATCTCACAAAAACATGTGGCTACTTCAAGGGATTGCAGAGAGGTCCTGTATTGTGCCCGGAATACATTCCTGCTTTTGAATTCAAGAGCTGCACAATCAAAAAGAACATTAAAGATCGTCATTGTTCTATCAGATCCTTGAACATGGTTTTTTCCCACCCTAAGGATAAAGGAAGAGTAGTATAATTTCTTTTGATTTAGTCAATATATTAATTTATTACTTAGCACAAGGTATCAGTTTATCACATTCTGCCTAAAGTATTAGCTATGTTCAGTGCATTTGGGGAGCTATTTTTTTTTAAGATTCCAGAACACTTTTGAGGACTATTAGGCTGACTGAGGGCTGAAAAACCAATGCTTTCCCAGGTGCTCTGATCACAAGCTTTCAAATGAACAATTTTGCAGTCCTAAGGTTGATATTGCTGTCTTATTTATGTTGACTTGTTACTTAGCCCTTCTGATTTTAATGGGGCTTACTCTTGGATAAGTGACACAGCATGGTACCCTTATCCAGTTTCTCACCCTGGACAACCAGGTGTGTCTATCCACTTGCTAAATGGACCTACAGTTGGAATTTAACCAAGACAGATTATATATCTTTATAGCAGAGCAAGGCCAATAAAGGAAAGATGTCATGCAAACAAGTAATAATACAAAAATCATCTACGATGCAAACAAAACAACCATCATCATAAACCAAAGCTATTTCCACTGGAGTGAAAATCAAGCTATTGATAAATCTTTTGAAGTTAATTTGCATCTTATTTACAGAGAGACTTCCCGATGCTGTAGATACCATTTTTTACCACCTCGAGGAAAATGAGGCCACAGTCAATCTACGTTGAGGATCTTAATTTTCCCTGGACCTTCCCTGCATTTTGCTCGTGACAAAGAATTGGGAGTTCCTCAAAGAGGGGCAATTCTCAAGATGGTTTATTAACAGTTTATTAATTAATTACCAATTAACTGCACAAAAGAGCCACCGTACCTGGGAATTGTCTCAGAAAGCTTTTTGTCATTAAAAAAAGTGGGTGACCTTTTCACTCTGCCTTACTTCAGAAGATTGTTCCACGCATCTTTTTTTTTTTAAATAAAAGAACAATGAGATTAGTGATGGATGCACTACGAAGCAGCAGAAAACAGGAAATTGTGAAAAAGAAAAGAGAAAAACTAATGACAGAAGTTAAAAGAGTTACACTATTCTGCTAGTATAGCAGATAGAGAGGTAGTCCAAGGAAGCAACCTGCTCCCTGATTGGGACAATTGCTACAATCTAGCTCTGTCAGATATTCAGTGCACCTGAGCTTGGGCAGCCTCTCATATCCTGAAGCCCCTAAAACTTGTGCTGGGATGATCCCTCCTGATCCTTAGAATTTTGGGGATTGTAGTCCTCATGCACCATACAACTGCAGGAATGCCAAGTTGGAAAATGCTGATGTAGAAGTAATTCAATAGAGCCTAATGGACTGGTGGGCTCATTTCACAGTCTGAGAAAGTGAGAAGGAAGAAAAGGAATAGCATCTATCTATGAATGCCTACACTTCAGCAATTCAGAGGTTGTAACAGATTTCATGTCCTTGCTTGTTGGAGGTTGCTTCTATAAACATTTCACTTTTGGATTTTTATATTTATAAGTGCTCTGTTATACAATACAGAATATCTGTTTTGTTAATGGAAGACACCTTTCTACATGGTTCCAACTCAATATGGTTGGCTTTGCTATCTGGAATTGGACTGAAATTGATTCTAGTTTAAAAGATATTACTGTAAACCAGTGGTGTCCAACTGTGGCAACTTTAAGACTTTTGGACTTCAAGCTCGCTGGGGAACTCTGGGAGTTGAAGTCCACAAGTCTTAAAATTGCCAAGTTTAGACACCCTTGCTGGAGACTAGCACACTGCCATTAATGGATATTTTATCCAGTCAGTAGGGAGAGTGGATCTTGGGCTATAAAAGCCATCCTTGGGTATTTTATTGCTATCTATTCACTTTTCACTATGCTAACACCATTATAATGAAAAATAACACACACACTGTTCAGTAGAAAGAAAACCCTTTGACAAGTTATATTTATCTTATGTTTCCTTGCCCCGGAAACTATGGTACCTGCAAGTCTAAATGCACACTTCAAAAAACCAGGTCCAACTTAGGATCCTTCAGATTTTGGGTTACAATTCTCATCATACCTGGGAGTGTAAAATTGAGGAAAGCGGATTCAGACAAAGACAAGCATTGCATGCACAGTGGTACCTTGGTGCTCAACTGCTTTGAAATTCAGCAAATTTGATACTCAATGCATTTTGATATGAACATTTTGTCCCGGTACTCACTGTTTGCTTGGTACTCAATGCACAAGCTAGAACTTGTCGGTGTTGGCTGCCTTGTGACTCACTATATTATTCCTTATGGGAAAAATCTGTTTGGTACTCATCATTTTTGGTACTCATTGCATCTCCCAGAACCAATTAACGATGAGTACCGAGGTACCACTGTATTTGTGGAAATCCCATTTTGAAAAAAAAAAAGATGCCTCCATGGCAATGTTTCATAAAGAACCTGAACACAAACAGTCCAATCCTGAATGAATCTGGCCCCTCTTTGGCCACACACACTCAGAACTGACCTTAGATTGTAATCTAACAGTACTCATCATTGGCCACAGCAGGAGCCAAATGTTTAAAATAAGTTTTTTAAAAAATTGAACAACTTCAAGAATTTTTGTAAGGATCTCAGCAAATTAACTGATAAAAGTCTCTGTTTTCAGCGGAATTAGGCATCTGGGAACCAAACAGAGTGTCTGTATAATTTTGCTAACTTTTTGGTGGTGGTCTCTTCATCTAACTCAATTAACACTAAACATTTGCCTTCAAATTAGCTTTCACAAAAGTAGGATTTATTGGCTCACTTGGTTACTTTTAAAAGCCTGTACAAAAAGAATCAGGAAATGGAACTTGAGAATCCCCTTTAAAACACAGCAGTAGCCAACTACAATTTTCTAAGGCATTCTGACTTTCACCAGAAGGAAGTACATGAAGGCTTCACTGAATCTTTAAGACTCATCTCTCTGATTTTGGAAATGACTGGTACATAAGGAAAGCAAAAACTCATTTTAAGCAGCCTTCTCCAAAATGGTATCTTCTAGATGGGTTGGAATTGCAGTTATCAGTCCTTCCTACATCTGGAAGACGCCAATTTGGGAAAATGCTGATCTTGAGTAGCTGAAGCACATTAACTATGGTATCTGAATTTCTGTTCAACCAATGTCCTAGAACTGTTTTTTTTTTTAATGTGGCTTTCTCAGTTCTTATTTGGAGCTGCATATTTAAGGATTTGTTTTAAAGTATTCTTACATCCAAACACATCACAATGCTTAAAATAACAGTGCTCTGCTACCTGTCAAAACCACAAATTATTGCTTTATTTTAAATGGCAGCATTTCTACATACTGAAATAGCAAACTGAAATGTAATATCAGTAGTTTCTTTTGTAAAGGTTCTTTAGCTTGGAATACACTGGCACCACTGGCTTTTCAGTCACAGACTAGAAAAGCAGAGTTAACTGGACATTTGGTACTAAGGCTCCCCACACACGGACTACAAAAATCCAGATGATTTCTAGATGGCAGCAGAGATACAAAAGTTCTTATTTATTTTCTGTAGCCACCCAACTCAACCAAGTGATTCTGAATTGCTTCTGTTGTTATCTAGTGCTTGTCTGGAGATTTTGCAGCCAGGTTTAATAATCATAGCTTGTAAGTGAGAATCCCCAACTTAATTCAATTTATTTGGATAATTCTGTACAAATATGACTCCAGCTTTCCAACACTATCCTTCTAGTTCTCCATAATCAAAATATAGCCTATACCTGCCCAACATTTGCCATAAAGTGTGTTTTGCAGAATCAACTCCATTTGGAGGGCTGCATAACACACAGAACTATAAATCAAATCCATGGAGTGTTTTCATACAATATGCTAGAGCAAAATGTGGTTGGCAGGTTTCTGCTTCCGTGTATCAAGAAAGCAAAGTCATTGTACATAATTGTTCTCCTCTGCTAAGCTTAATGATTGAAAGAACAAGCTGAAGTGTCTCCTTATGAGCCAGTAAGTCAGTTTGGCCTCTCAAGACTGCAAGCTAATTTCCTTCCCTCTTCAGATAAATGCATTTATGTCAACTACTTTCTGGCACCAGAGAGTATAGGGAGAACTCAAATTATCCCAAGAGGGGCGCTGATACTCCTGTGCCAATTTAATTGTGAGTTCAATTCAATGCAGCTTGTAATTTTCCTATTTCAAATAAACTCTTAAGAAATCCAAAGTTCCTGTTGTTGCCTTTACTCGAGGCTGGCTGAATGTTGCATTACAATAATCCCACCTCAAAGGGAAACAGAGCAATATGGAAATAAGGGAGTTCCTTTCCACAGTACCTATCTCTGTGACAGTGTTGAGAGGAAGGTTGCTCAGTCATTCTCCTTGTTGCTTGAAGGATGAAATTAGCTGACAAAAAAAATCTCTTTGGAATAGGAAAACTGGCATCCCCTGGCTACTCCAACTGGTGCCTGCTCTGACCCTTGTAGGCAAAGTGAAAGATGTACCATTTACTCACAGCTGACTGAAACCTTGTGGCTAAACTGGGCTTCAAAGGAGAGCTATGAAATTAATATCAATCTGTAAAGTGGAAACCAGATGAGCAAAGCTCATGAGCAGCAGTCTCCATATTATCTACGGCAGAAATATAACTGCATGTCAGCCATGGAATGACAGACAGCATGTTGCTGAGGATTCTGGGTATTTTATGGGACAGGGGATTAATTTAAGCTGGGGTGCTAGGCAGGGTTACAGCTGAATGGAGTGTATATGTACTGCAGGATAGGTAGATGGGATGGCTACTTTTTCAAGGAAAACTGACTAGTGTTACAGATATTCTCATCAAGAGTCCTCGGTAAAAAGAAGCGTTTTCTGGACAAATCTAAAAAAACCCTATTTCTTGAGTGTCTGGAAGATAGATGGATACACACCAAGAGTCTTCAAAAATACAGAGATTGCACATTATGCTACATCGTGGGTTGTTTCAAAATGGTTTACTTAATCAACCACAACTGGTTGGGTCTGCACAAAATAAGGCGGGAAAGCAACAACGACCCTGTCCCAACTAATCAATCAATGTCATGATTTAACTTGTGAGCCAGGGGGCAGAAAGTCTAGTTAGAAATGCAGTCAACCCCATCCACTAGTTTGAAAAGTGTTGTATATATGTGGAAGGGAGGAGTGATTTAAGTTGCAAATGGACTAAAGTGTCAATCTTCACCAGTGGACAGTGGACCAAATGGGCAGTGAGGCTACAGTGGGCAATAGAGCAGGCACCCAAGCACAAATCCTTCCTCGATGCCTAACAAGAGAAAATTGAAAAGGGTCTGGGTGATTGCTTTAAGTAGAGGTAAATCTTCAGCCAATTAGTTTAACTGGGCGATGTATTTCTATAATTTAAGGGACAGAATCAGAAAATATACATTTACAGAATGTTGCTTCTTTCTTAATTATAGTTCTCCTGTGCGAGGCATCAAAATAGCCTCCCACCATCCAGTCAAACTTCAAGAAGTATTGGGAGTACAACTCACAGACCTGACAGTCAATAGCTAAAGAACACCAGGATCAGGAGCTAAATCTTTTCAGAGAGACAAATGGCACCCTCCTCCAAAATCTCCTGAACTTCAGTCAGAAAACACAGCATCAGGCAATGACCTGATAATGACCAAAGCTTGCCATTAACTCTGTATGGCAGAAATCTCCAACAGAGCTAAACCTACCCATAGAAAGCAGAATTCTATCATGCTAGGCCAAGATGGTAGTCAAACCATTAAGACCAACACTGGGATAACTAATGGCATCCTTGTTTATTAGATATGGATTTTTGAGAAATGTTGGCCACCCTGGTTCTCTCAATTACAACCTCTCTTTTCAAACTGAGAACAGAAATGATCAAGAGAGCCCAAATATGATTAAAGTGCCAAATTAATTAAATCTCCAGAAACTTCCTGAACTGAATGTGCAGCTATGGGCAGAGCAGTACCACCTTTCATTCAATCTAGCTGGCTTAAACTCTGCAACCATTATTGGTTGCAATAAGCCGCAAGTTCTTGAGCAGGCTTTCCGCTCGGGGAAGAATTGAATCAATACCACTTTGCTTTGGCAGGAAGCACTGCCCAACTTGAAAAGAAGGGGTAAATCCGGATTTGTAATTTCTTTGCTAAAATCCAAGTATATCTGGATGGGAAAGCACATGAAAGACAGGAGAATATATATATATATATATATATTTCCCAAGGCACTTAAATATTGCTTATTAGGGCAAATGGCAGAACCCCAAGTGCTAGGCTGCCCTGTGTCACATTAGTGATATCTCTCCATGTGTTATGGAGAAGAGGCACCCAGGATGTTGATAGAATGAAACTGAGGGAAGAGGGAGGTCTTAACTTCAATGGCTAACTGAACTGAACACATTGGAAAGTATTTAAGAGGAAGACAATAAACCAGAACTGGGATATTGCTCCATTACCTAAAGAAATATATAGACACTGGAAGGCTAAAAACAAATCCTGTGCTTGCTGGGAAGCTAAAACCTAATGGAAGTGAAGAAACCCAAGTGTTTTTTAAATCTTGTCAGAGAATGAAGAGCTGCTTCCGGTTTTGCAAAGGAAGTGGGGATTTCTCATTGTTATGTGGAAGGCAGGCCTTTCGTTTGAAGCCATGACACATGCTGTAACTGTCCATGAGTGGCAGCCATTATAAGCGTTCTAAAGTCAATTTTCTAGAAAGATCCTGCCAAAGCCAAAAAGAAACCCCCTCGGCAGCAGGCCTTAAGATCTCAAGATGCTCTAAAACAGCATTTCTCAAACTTGGCCGCTTGCAGACGTGTAGACTCCAACTCCCATAATTCCCCAGCCAATATGCTGAATGGAGAATTCTGGGAGCTGAAATCCACATACCTTCAAGTTGCCAAGCTCGAGAAATGCTGTTCTAAAGGGAAAGTGTGGCTGTTGTCCCATTATTGATTCTCAAGCCAGATTCTGTCCCTAATTTTGCTTATATATGTGCAGATTTGCACCTTCAAGTCAGAATAAGAGCTCTTTGTGCATCTTAAAGATAACATTTCGTATCCCCCAAACAGCCAAGAAACGATAAAAATTAACAAAAAAAAGTGAGAAAAGTAAACCTGCCTTCCAGCCTCCTAGAGCTTTTGTTCTGGACCATGAAAAGGCATTTTGTTGTTGTTGTTGTTGTTGCTGTTGTTAAAGCTACTGAACTCTTAATTTTGTGAAGACTTGAATTAAGTGCTGCTGTTGCATATTGAAGACATGATAAAAACCTAATTTCTGGGTTTTTTTTAAATAAAGAAAAAGAATACACAGGGAAGGTGATTTCACATTTTACAGTACTGTCCCCTCCCCAAAACAGACTTAGTGACCAATTAATACAACTACATTGAGGTGTAATATTGGGAATATATCTTTTAAAGTCAGAATGTCTCTTCCCCATCCCCTCCCACAATATCATAAAGTAAATATTAATTAGAACATAAGTCATGAATGCACCATTAAAGTGTCATCAAAAGATGTTGACCTAAGCAGTTTTCCATGATACACAATACGGCCCTCCAAAAAAAAAAAAAAAAAATCTGTCAATAATATACAGTTTGACAACTACATCTTGTAAATTAAACCCAATACTGCCGGCAGTCTATCCCTCTAAAGAATATTTGCCCCTTTCGTCCTTTCCTAGTAATCAGATAATAAAATACAGCACCTATAAATAAGCCAAAAAAATAATAATAATTATATCCATGTATGTGTGTATATGTGTGTGTGTGTATGTATATAAATATATACACATACACATACACACATTCATACCCATACATACACACCAAAATGATCTATTGTTAGTTTTAAAGATATGGCAATAAAGGAATCTAAACCAGCGAATCTGTAGAAGCCATAACTGATAAAACAGCTTATTGAAAAAAGGTGGCAGTAATGCACTCTAAGCGTGCACAAGTACGTAAGAAAATACCAACGTATAAAATTGCACACATGCACACACACATACGCGCACTCATTTCTCCATACACTTCTATGCTCGCGCATATACACATAGACAACAGGAGGAGCTAGAGACAATTTGGAAAATCGATTCTGTACTTTGATCGGCCCTGCGGCTGTCATAAAATAACAGGAAGAGCTTAATTATTTTGGAAGAGGAGAACAGTTCCTGTCGTGTGCTTTGGTTAGCCATTTTGTAGTTTGACATTGTGATAATCGAGGGTTATGTACTCTTCTTCTGGGCCCACTCCCTTTTCGTAACCAGTATATGCCATGGGACCATAGGTAATCATTTAAGGGTGCTTAACGATACTCCAAAGAGGCTGAAACAGTGGTTCTTATTCTCTGGAGTAGGTGAGACCAGAATAGCACAATGACTGATTGTTAAGCCCCAGATCGTACTAAAATAATGGGCCCCAGTAATATTGTCCTACGAACTATTGCCAGCTATGAATGATGGAAACTCATCTTGTTGGGTAAGGCTTCTCATTGTACCACCACACTCTTTTTGAAACTGATACCAAGTTCAACTTTCTTGCCAACCAACCCCTCTCCGTAAAAAAAATACCACACTGTATTTTGTGTAGCATGTATCATTATGCCACCTGCCTGACTGCCTGGCGTGTATTAAGGAGTGTTTCCAGGTGCCCATGTAATTTATTTTCTTTCAAAAAGCTGGTGTTTTTTTCTCCCCTTACAGATCACATGGGTCAATGATTAATGCGGCATGTGCAATCAGGTGGTGTTGAGGACTAGTAACATATATGGACTTGTTGGCAAGGCTGGCATAATGCAATTTAATCTGAACCGATCAAGTACATCCCTCTTCCAAGCTGTCTCCCACACCTCCCAGAATGAGGTCTGATCCGCGTGCTTTGTGGTTAGAGGTTAAAAAGCAGATTATAAAATACCTAGATTTCAGAATTTTTCTTCTTTTTTTTTTCCTGTCCTGATTTGGCCTAAAATGGAGTGTATTAAACAAATTCCAGCCAACAAAGAGACTAGAATCAGTTAAAGCTATGAAACAATGTGCACTACAAGTCAATTTTCTATTCCACTTTACAAGAAAAACACTGAAGTCAGCTACCACAAATTAAGATGTTTTCCTGATGTGTCTTTTTTTTTTTTGTCTGTTTAAAAAATACATGGAGTAAATGTGTTTTTTTTTTAAACCCCAAGTTTCAAACAATACTCTTTCTTGAAAATATTTAGGAATTCAAACTAGTGTGTTTAGAGTCGGGTTGACTGTGCAATCTCTTAGTGGCAACCGAAGAGCTACAAAACAACTTTTTTTTTTAATCTCAAAAAATCTCCCCTCCCATCTTTTTGTTTTCCTGGTTAAAGAAGATAATAGTGTATTATTATCGCTCTGTTTAGCCATTAGATGGCTGATAAAAAGCCCCCCCTTTTAAATATGTGGGTTTAATTTTTTTTTCTTGTTTGTATATATATTTTTGTTTTAAAGCCCACACCAAAGAGGAGGGCAGAAGGCAAAAGCTGTATGAGTTTTTTTTTTCTTCCCCAGAAACTGTGGAAATCACTTTAGGGCAATTAATAGAAACACTTCAGGGTACAAAAAGCTGGACAAGTTTCAGTTTTCTTCCTTGAAAACACAAACATAAAACTGGGCTTAAAACACTCCTTTTGTTCTCTATATGCACCTTGGCCTATGGCATTTTTTTGCCCCGTGGCCTGCAGGGCGGTAAGTGCGGGACACAATAGAAACCAACAGAGGTCCAAGTTTTAACTTTCCCAGCCCTGTGGAGCTGGGTGAGCTTAATCTCAAAACTCCCATTCAACGGGCTCCTCTCGACTCGCAGCCTTCTCCAAACGGTGGATTATACTGTTCAAATTTGCTGCCTTCTTTTTCCTCAAGGTGTTGTCCCGTGTGTTCTTGGAGCACGCCGCCTCAGAAAAGCTGAACAAGCTCTTGAGTGAGTTGGATTTCTGAGAGCTGGTGATGGCCAGCGTGGAACTGGTACTTGGCACAATGGGCACTTTCTCCACACTTTCTCCCCTGGGCTTGCAGGAGCTCTGCCCTGCAAGGACTGAGGTAGAGGCATCCTCTTCTGGAGCACAGTTGGGCCTGGCCTCCAGAGTTTCTCCTGAATGTTGAGAGCTCAGTGGAGAACCCTGACGTGGTGCTTTGAGCCTTCCCTCGTCGTCTGTGTCTTCCAAGCTCTCCATTCCCAACTGGAATGTCTCCGTTTTCTCCGAAGATCCGGCGTCTCGCAGTGCCTCTTCCCCTGCTTCGAAAGCCGACGCTGCTCGCCCTCCCTGAGACTTCATGGTTGCATTGCTGTACTCATCTGCTTCCAGGCTGCCTTGTTTTGTATCCGATGGGCCTTCCGTGTCCACCCCATCACAACTGTCTCCTTCGGAGCTGTGAACTGCCCGGTTACTTCTAGCTGAAGGAGAGTCACTCGACCCAGCCTGGCTCTGACCTCCAGCTTGGATTTCTTCAATAAACAGCTCTCGACGAATACGTGACCTAAAAGAAACATGGCAAGAAAGGAGTGTCACCACTGGTTGTAGCTGAGATGATAACGGTAGTTGCGCCTGGCACTTCCTCCAAGGACATCAAATGGGTGAATCTGGGATGAATCTATCATCATTACAGAGCAGGGGTGTCATACTCAAGGCCCGGGGGCCAGATCCGGCCCACGGGGTGCTTAGACCTGGCCCGTGGGGCCGCCCTGAAAAGAGGAAAGGTCCGGCCCACAGTGCTCCTGCCAGCGAAAACAGCTCGGGAGGGCCACACACGGCCTTCCCAAGCTCTGTTTTCAGCCACGATGGCCTCCTGCAACCCTTTGCCAGCAAAAACAGAGCTCGCGAGGGCCATGCACAAACACCCACCCCCCCCAGCTCCATTTTTGCTGGCAGAGTGCTCAGGCCACAGGTGTCCCACACGAGTGATGTCAAGCTGGCCACACCACCCTGGCCAACACCCCCCATGATGCAGCCCTCAATGAAATTGAGTTTGACACCCCTGTTACAGAGGTTATTTAGGCTGAGAGGAAGACAGGCAACCTTCAAGTCTGAGATTAATTAAGACATTAATTTGATACAGCTATTTAACAGTGAAGTCCTATTATGTACTTGATCAAAATGGTCTATTCACTACACAAGTAGTCCTTGATTTACAACAGCAACTGGGATCAGAATTTTCATTGCTAAATGATGCAGCTGTAAAGCACAACTGCGTCACTTAGTGGCAGCAATTCTGCAGTCCTATTTGCCATCATCAACTGAATTCCAAGGTCGTTAGATGAGGCAATTTGCTGCTGGCTTCCCACAACCAGTCAGTTGGGAAGCAGCAAGTTACAGGTCCCAGGCCCAAAGGAAGGGAAGTGGGTGGGGGATGTGAGAGGCACAGCATGGGTCAGGTGCATGAGGGTGCACAAAACGTGGTGTGAGTTGGGTGTACGACAGTGGTGAAATCTAAAATTTGTTACTACCGGTTCTGTGGGCATGGCTTGGTTGGGGAGTGGTGGTAATATATAGGAGCCTGGTGGAGCAGTGGACTAAAGCGCTGTTAAATAGCACTTAGCTGCCAGCTGCCTGTAATTACTGCAAGTTCGAATCTCACCAGACTCAAGGTTGACTCAGCCTTCCATCCTTCCGAGGTAGGTAAAATGAGGACCCAGATTGTGGGGGCAATAAGCTGACTTTGTATAAAAAAAAAAGAACACCGCTTGGGGGGGCCAAAAGCCCTACTAAGCAGGTATATACAAAAGTATGAAGGCTATTGCTTAACGCATTGTAAGCCGCCCTGAGTCTCCGGAGAAGGGCAGCATATAAATCGAACCAATAAATAAATAATGTGACTGGGTGGGCGTGGCCAATTTTTTTTTTTAACTTTTAAAACCATTTTTTCTACAACCTCTTCGGCGAAGAGGTTGTAAAAAAATGCTTTCAAAAGGCTCTGACGATCCCAGCTGAGTTGCCTGATTGGCAGAGGGTTTTTAAAAAACTCTCTGAGGATCAGGCAACTCAGCTGGGACTGTCAGATCCATTTAAAAGAAAAAAAGCCTCTGATGATTGTGCAGCTCAGCTGGACATGGGGGGGGGCAGGGATTTTTGCTACCGGTTCTCTGAACCACCCGCCTCCATCGCTACCGGATCGGGCAATCCGGTCCGAACAGGGAGCATTTCACCCCTGGTGTGGGAGGATGTGTGGGATAGGTGTGGTGTGGATTGGGTGTCTGAGAGGCATGGGATAGGTCAGGGAGGGTGCAAGGGGATGTGCAGGAGGTGAGATGCTCTATGAGTTGGGTGTGTGAGGATGTGCACAAGAGGCACTATTGTTGCAGGTTGGGGAGGGTGTACGAAGGAGTGCATGAGAAGTGTGGCACAGGGAGGTTGTATGAAGGTGGTGGCACAAGGAGGATCAGGGAGGGCCTCCGAGCAGCCAGTACAGGTAATCCTCAACTTACAACAGTTCATTTAATGACCGTTTGAAGTTACAATGGTGCTGAAAAATATATGACTGTTTTTCACACTTACAACCATTGCAGCATCCCCATGATCACCTGATCAAAATTCAGACACTTGGCAACTGGTTCATATTTATGACGGTTGCAGTGTCCCCGGGGTCATGTGATCCTTTTTTGTGGCCTTCTGACAAGCAAAGTGAATGGGGAAGCCAGATTCACTTAACAACCATGTTGCTAAATTAACAACTGCAGCAGTTCACTTAACAATTGTGGCAAGGAAGGCTGTAAAATGGAGCAAAGTTGAGTTAACAAATGTTTCACTTATCAGCAGCAATTTTGGGCTCAGTTGTGGCCAAAGACTACTTGTAAAATGTGATGTCAGAGGAGCTGGGGGAGGGTGTGAGGGTGGAGGAAAGTTACAACCTGCAACCTTCCCTGCCATTTCCCCCACTGATTCTTTTGAGTAAACTGGCAGAGAAGGTTGCAGATGGTGATCATGTGATTGTGGGATGCTTGGCAAGTAATTGTAAGCATGAATGGGTTGCCAAGTACTCAGACCACAGTCATGTAACTGTGGGCATGCTGTGTTGGTCTGAACTCTGAGGTCTGGTTATAACCAGTGGTGGGCTGCTGCATGGTCGCAAGGGTTCGGGCAAACCCTTAGTTCTGATCGCTGGCTGGGCCTGCCCACCCGCCCCTGTTCTATGCTATCCATTTATAACTTACTTTCTGGCTTGTTGGCTGGCCCAGCTGCATTCCGCGCCGTCCCTGCTGTTCTCACTGGAACTGCCTGAGCTGATTAGGAGCCTGTTTGAAGCTCTGTTTCTCTCCCAAAGGGGTGTGTGCAAGTGAAGTGAGCGCGTATGTGTGTGCGCTCACAACCAGCGAATCCTTTGTTAAAGAAAGTGCAGCCCACCTCTGGTTATAACCACCATTCATTCTTGGTACTGTCTCTGACCGAATGGTCATAAACTGAGGTCTACCTGTACACTGCTTCTGTTAGACACGGACCAAACTAACAGCTGAAACTGAAAACTCAGCTACAGTAAAGCAACCCCCCTTCTAAGGGGCTTCTGTGAGGAAAAGGGCAAAAGGACTGCTGGTTCTGCAGTAAAATAGGAAAAACTCAGAGCTACCTACCTATAATTGTGGAACCAATTAATGACGGTGCTGGTCTTCAAGTTGAGCTGTGTGGCAAGTTCCTCGATAGTTTTTGGTGATGGGTATGGCTTTTGCTGATAGGCTCGCTTCAGAGCTTCTTTCTCTTCCGGAGCCAAGACAACCCGTGGCTTCTTGAGCTGATGCTGTGGTTGTGGGCTGGCCCCCTGGCTGTAATCTATTCCAGTGGAAGATGATTCTGAAGGCTGGCTGTCACTGACGGAGCTGTGCCGCCGTTTCATGTATGCTGGAAAACAAAGGAAGCCACGCCGTCAGCCGGAGACAGAAGCGACAAATGGGGAAAGCTGGTTCATAATGAAAAGGCTTTGCAACTCTATGGGGCATATGAGAACTGCTTAAAACTGGTTTACTTAGCCAAGACGCATCTATTAAGACTGACAGTCTCTTTCCATGTTTCATGCACAAGATGTTTCTAGTCATCCAGTAGGGTACTATGTGGAGTCTGAAATGCGCTCAGAAGCTGATATACGGGATTGTATCTCATAGTAGATCAAATCAGACATTAGATCAAGATCTCCTGGAAAATCTTTTGGTGAATGGCAAAAGACAGCTGTTCCCTAACAATTTAACATTTGCAGTAATACTCCTCTCTTTCCACATTTAACTATTGAAACAATGCTTGGCATAATCAACCCGTTAGCAAGGGCTTTCTTTGATTTTTGTTTAATTATAAACCTTCTATAATAAATTCCTTAGTTTAGAATTTGGTAACTGTAAGCGCTTATCTTTTGCCTAAGTTTTCAGCAGGGAGTTATTTCAGATTCAATAATAATATTAACAATCAGTGAGCCACCTAGTTAAAAGAAGATTGCGCAGACTGACTACAAACAATAGTACAACAAAGTAGCAACAATAGTACAATGGAATATCTGCAAGAAAGACCACTTGTCTGCAAATGAGAACCGGTAGGATCACAAAATAGACAAAATAATAGAAAATGAAGACCTATATTGATATTGTTTCCTGATTGCTTATTTGTACCCTATGAGTATCATTAAGTGTTGTACCTTATGATTCTTGATGAACGTATCTTTTTCTTTTATGTATACTGAGAGCATCTGCACCAAGACAAATTCCTTGTGTGTCCAATCACATTTGGCCAATAAAGAATTCTATTCTATTCTATTCTATTCTATTCTATTCTATTCTATTCTATTCTATTCTATTCTATTCTATTCTATTCTATTCTATTCTATTCTAGTTATCTGGGATTTTACTTATTTAAAACATTTATACAGTATAGCTTCCTGTCTTCTAACCAGCCCTGGGCAGCTTCTAATCTTCAGCATTCAAACAATCACCTGCCATTAACATCCCAGACTTAACAATTGTTGAAAAGAAAGACAGAAAAGGTCTGGAGACACATAGTAGACACTGGAGTACCTGAAGACAGCAGAAGAGAAGAGAAAGAACTGGAGAATATTACAAAATACAAAGATCTGAAAACAGAAGTAGAATGACTGTGGCAAAAGAAAGCAAAGTTAGTGCCAATAGTAATAGGCACCTTTGGTACAATTCCAAAATATCTGGAGTGCCACCTGAACACCATCGGCATCTACAAATCAGACAATTTCAAAAGGCAGCTTTACTTGGAACAAGCTGTATCCTGTGACAATACCTTTAACACCATCAAACAACGCCTGCCTATTCCAGGACTCGATAGGTGGATAAAAATGCCAAATCCAGTCTAAACAACTGTGCAGTGAACTACAATACAAATTCTACCATCCTGAAATCTGCCTATCTCTGGCTTAGCTCCACAGGAGGCCAAGCAAGTTGACCTATGACAATTAATGTCTTGACTAGTGTGTGTTTCGTAATATCCAGCATGTCTTAACAGAAATCAGCATACATCAGCCTCCATGAAAATCTTTGTAACTGAACCAGATTTATCTACCTAATGCTTCTATTCCCTGACTGATGCTTCAGCTTGCAATCCTGAGAGATGCCTCTAGCTTTATGTCTGCTTCTACCTCTTTCTGTCCTGTTTTGCTACTTTGGAACTCAGCCTTCTCCTGATGTAAATTTGGGGTTGGCTCCTGGATCTTTTTTGCCTGCTGATTCAGATGCCTGATTTGCAGCCCATCGCTGGCTGCGTTTATTGTCCTGCAGCTAGCCCAAGGTCCCATTTATTCTACCTGAGATGCTAGAGGTCATATTGGAGGATTTCTGCTGGCAAAGCATCTATTTCTTCATTATAGGTCCTCCTGTAAACATGAGTATCCTTGAACTGCCATTTCTGCTAACCACAAGCAAGCTACCTCCTTTCTCTAGAGAGAGAACAGTGGGTCTGCATTTCATTTATATTTATGGTTAAAGACTGAAAAGTCCTTTTACAGTAGCAGTCATGTCCTGCATAACTATGCCTCAAGTAAATTCTATATTTCCTAAATTAATTAAAAAGTTAAATCAAATAATCTAATGAAACAAATAATTTAACATTTGTTAGCTTTACTAAGGATGACTACAAACTCAGCCTTCCATCCTTCTGAGATTGGTAAAATGAGGACCCAGATTGTTGGGGGCCATATGCGTAAACTGCTTAGAGAGGGCTGTAAAGCATTGTGAAGCGGTATATAAGTCTAAGTGCTAGTGCTATAGTATATCACATACGTACTTCATGAAAGCTTCATGAAAACGGTGGCTAGAGTGTGAATGACCCTACGCAATTACTCACTTAGGCTATTTTTCTTCACTTCTTGGTCTTGTCCCATTAAACCATTGTTTTCAATTCACAGGCAAGGAAGCAGTGGCAACTAAAATTTTATCCTTGGATTTCCCTCCAGGTCTTCTACTCAACATGGGGAAGAGCCGATCAAAACACTTATTAAACAATTCATATCAGACACAGAGTATCAGCTGGACTTTGCCCAGGATCCAAACTTTCTTGCCAGTGAATCTAAAAGATACTCTGCTTCTTTCATGGCATATTTAACTAAACTCATACTACCTAAAAATAGAGGAGCTCTACTCTGGTATGATGTCATGCCTTCTCTATAGCTGTCCTTGAAGAAGAAAAAAGGAAGATCCCCTACTTGGATTGACAATGCCCCTGTGACTCTGCACACCTAAAACTGAAGAGAGCAGGTGCTTCCTGTACTACAGAGACATTGACACTCAGCTGATCTTATCATTACAAATTTACACCACCTTGTTTCTTTCAAACACTAAATCTGCCACCACACACAATGTGGCCAGGTTCTGTGCAGCAGTACTCAACATTTATTGGATAAGTTGTGCTTGCTCAACTTCATAAACTAAATGTAATGCTTACCTAGTTTGCCATATTAAGACGCTTTGTCACTTGACAGTCTTCTGTGCACTAACTTTTTATGCTCCCCATCTAATACTCCTAAATCTTTTTAGATTCTCACTTTGTATATGTACTTTAGCTCTTAATTTATGTATCTTTTATATCTACTACCTTTTTGTAATTCTTTATAAATTTTATAAACACACACAAACTTACATATCTTGATTTTTTTTAATGCTTCTTTGTAATGGCTGTACCCCATCCCCATACAGGTCTATGATTGTAATAGACTAATTTGATTAATTGGTCTTTGGTGGATCAGATTATTCCATACTACCCTGGTGGTTCTGCTTGTTAAATATTTTGATTGAACAAGTTGTTTGAAGAGTTATCAGCATTTAAGATCACAAGAGGGCGCTTGGAACCTATGGAATTTGTGAGTCTGCTTTCCTGTTTGGAGATGACTGTTTTGATGACTTACAACAATGATAGGGAACTTAATACTCCTGGAGCTGTTATTAATTTCCAGCAGTGTCAGCTGGGGCAGGTTTCTATCTCAGAAATATGTGGAAGTCCATAGGTTTTGTATCCCAGAGATTAATGTTCACCAAATGTGACCTGGGCTGTCTTGTAATGATTGAAGCATCTCCTAGAGAGCACACCAATTGGGTCAGCCTTACACAAAGTCCTTGTCTTACAATCTGTGTATGCGGTGAAATCATTTCTGAAAACCTTATGACCATCTATTACAGCCTGACCTAATCTAGTATCCTCCTAATACTGGAGACATGATAGCCATGAAAAGTGATAAAAATGAGTTTTTCTACTGCTCTATTATGGTCTTCTATGGAAATAAAATATTACAAAATGAAGACAAGATAAAAGCCGACAGTTCAGATATGGTGGCCAGATAGCTTTAATTAAGAGGGGACTGAACTAATTCAAAGGTGATTGGGTTATTGATGGCTATTAGTCTTGATGGTTGTTTTCTCTCTTCTGAATCAGAAGCAATATTGGGCAGAGGCTACAAATTCAAATTCAGAATAGAGCTGGAAGGGATCTTGAAGGTTTTCTAGGCCAACCCCATGCTCAAGCAGGAAACCCTGTATCATTTCAGACAAGTGGCTGTCCAGTCTTTTCTTAAAAACCCCCCAGTGATGGAGCACTCACAACTTCTGAAGGCCAGCTGTTCCACTGGTTAATTGTCCTTACTGTTAGGAAGTTCCTTAATTCCAGGTTGTTTCTCTCCTTTATTAGTTTCCATCCACTGTTTCTTGTCCTGACCTCTGCTGCTTTGGAAAATAACTTGACCTCCTCTTCTTTGTGGCAGCCCCTCAAATACTGGAGTACTTCTTTCATATCACCTTTTCTCTAGACTAGCCATATTCAAATCCTGCAACAGGTCTACACATTTGAGTCTCTAGGCCTTTAATCATTTTAGTTGCTCTTCTCTGCACTTTTTTTTTTCAAAATCTTGACATCTTTTTTTGTAATGTGGTGACAAAAACTGGATGCAGTATTCCAAGTGTGGTCTTACTAAGGTTTTATAAAGCGGTACAACTTGATGGGTTATCTGAAACTCATTCTGGCTTGTAAAATCTGAATAAGTGGATAGGGTGCTCTCTCTGGTATGTTTGTAGCTGTTTGTGGGATGCATCCATGCCTCCTCGGCTCCTGTGTGTAGCTGTGGTGGAGGATGGTAAATAATGAACTGGATCCAGGAGGTTTACCAGTGCTTATTTGTCAGGGTTCAAGGCTTGGACATATGACAGAGATGAAACTGGTTTTATTTATTTATTTGAATTTATTAGCCATGCAACTTCAAGGAAATCTTGTTGATAACTCTGGTCAGGATTTGGATGGAAGTACTGCCCCATTCTTGATCTTCTGAGACCTCTTGGCTGCCTTTTTCCTTCTGAAGGAGGGCCAGTGAACATTTCTCCTGCATGGCTTTATGAGGATTGTGAATTGAAAGCACTGCTTTACAGTGTTTCTGCTCCTTCTTTAACACTCAGTTCCAGCTGGTGGTGGAAAAGGTACTGGCTCAAGTTTGCCTTATAGATGTTTCAGGGTTGAGCTCTTTTCTATCTGCTCTTTAATAGCTATATGAATTGACTGCGAGATCTTTCATTAGCCTGGGATACAATATCCTCTGTATGTTGATCACATCCAACTATGCATCACTACCCTAGGCTGCATAGGAGAGGCTATTAATGCCTTGTCCCAGCACCTGAAGATGGATGAATGTGGATGAGACAAAGTAGGTTGAAGATATAGCAAAACATAGCAAGGTGAAGTTGCTTCTACATCAAGAGCCGTGGTGGCGCAGTGGTTAAAATGCAGTACTGCAGGCTACTTCTGCTGACTGTTGGCTGCCGGCAGTTCGATTCTCATGGGCTCAAGGTTGACTCAGCCATTCATCCTTCCGAGGTGGATAAAACAAGGATCCAGATTGTTGGGGGCAATATGCTGACTCTGTAAACTGCTTAGAGAGGGCTGTAAAAGTACTGTGACACAGTATATAAGTCTAAATGCTATTGCTATTGCTATCAAGGCTCTCAAGCTATTTCAATACTGGTACCGGCTCTAAAGCAACATGTAAGTAACTCATAGCTATTGGGCAAGTGAGGGCCATAGCCACCAGGCAGAGGGGATCTTCCCCAGTTCTGGATGGTTTATCAATTACTGCCCTACTAGAACAAGAAGGCATTGTGATAATGACCCTCATCACTGCAGGTAGTCCTCAACTTACGACCATTTGTTTCATGACCATTCAAAGTTATGATGGCACTGAAAAAAAGTGACTTGTGATCAGTCCTCATACTTATAACTGTCAAACTCTCCCTGCAGTCACATGATCAAAATTTGGGTGCTTGTCTACTGGCATGAATTTACGACAATTGCAGTGTCCAAAGATCATGCAATTGCCCATTTGCAATCTACCCAGGGGGACCTCAGACCAGCAAAATTAATGGGGGAAGCTGGATTCATTTAATGACCTTAATTTGCTTAACAAACACAGCAAAAAATGTCATAAAATCAGGTACAACTCACTTAATGACCGTATGGTTTAGTGATAGATGTTCCGGTCCCAATTATTGTTGTAAATTGAGGACTACCTGTATGTGCTTGGATTACTGCATGTGTTCCATGTGGGATTACAGTTAAAACAATTCTGAGCCAGCTAGTAAAGAATGTGTGGTTTACTTGTTGCCATAAGCACTTTATATCAGTGGTCCAGGACCTGCTGTCACTTCCTGCTGCCTTCTAGGTGCAATTCAAATGGTAGCTTTAATCTATAAAACCAACTGGAATTGAAATATCTACTTCATGTATCCTTGGATAAAACTGCTTGTACTTCTCCAAACAATTTGAAAAGTGAGGTAAAACTTGCAAGCTTGGCTTTTTAGTGGCCAACTCTGGGTTTTATTCTAATAGCATCCTAATAGATCCTATCTAACTAGCTTTGTGGAAGCTGCTAAAAACTAAATTGATTCAGAAGGTTTACGGTGATCGAGATGATGTCTACAAAGGGTTATTTTTTCCTTTAATTATCAGAGTTATATCCCATCTTTTGCTTAGGAGCTTGAAGCGGTGCATAATTATGGCTTATTTAAGGCATTTACCTTAGATGTTTTTATATTCTGCAATTGTATATATTTATTGTAAAAAGTCTAGCTGACTGCATTAGGCACACACTGAATAAATAAACATTATTTATGCATTTATTGCATAGATAACCCACCATTTTCTCTGGAGTTCCTATGTTTTGTGACACCAAAGCTTTCTTTTTCAGCTATTCTTTTTCTCAAACTTCTTTTCTTGGAAAATTATTGGATAAAAGGGGACAACTAACTCAGCTTAGATGTTTCTACTACATCCCTGGCTGCAGGGCTAGTTTAATCTTATGCTTTTGACTGATTTTAACATTCCTGGATCATATTAAACACTTCTTCCCACACACCAACCTTTTCGATGTTTTATTTATTTATTTATTTATTTGGATATCTAAGGCAACCCAATTGAAAACACCAACTCTGGGTGGCCCACAAGCTGTGGGAACTGCATGACTCAGAAGGTTATGCTCTTGGCCAGTGATATTTAAAACATATTGAAAGCATTTTTCAATTAAACGAGAGAGTCATCCTGGGCTGGACATCAATTCCCCTCCCTTCGACCGCAGAAATGACAGAAGTTACCTTTCTTCTCCATGCGCTTCATGTCCATCAGCTTCTCCACATTGTTTGGGTCGTTGAGCCACAGCTGCATACGCACAAATGGCTCCCGGCCCTTCAAGCTCAGTTTGTGCCAGGGCTTTGGGCGAGCAAGGAGGTCTGAGACTGAGCCTTGTGTGAGCCCCAGAATCGTTTCCCCAAACAAACGCTGACCTGCAAAAGAAATGCAAACATTACGTTATCTATGCTAAAAGGAGAGAAAAATACCAAGTACAAGAGAAACAAGACTTTTATAGATCTGGATGCAAATGAAGGAAAAACAATATACTTGAAAATCAAAAGATGCTCGATTGTTTGGGCTTTTTTTTAACAAGGAGGATACAATCCCTAAGAACCAGCAAGCAGTTGATAGGGAGATGGCTAATTCTTTTGGCCACTAGAGTGCTACCTGATATCTGTACTGAAGAGGAAGACTGATTACAGCCAGTCTTTAAATGCTTTTCATGTCAAAGGCCTGGAATTTGGCACACCAATTCATTCACAGAATGGGGTTACAAATAAAATGCTTCTCTTTTGTGTAGTAGCCATGAAAAAAAAAAATTAACTTGCTCCTTAGGTCATGATACAAGGAACGTTTTGATTCAGAAGCTCTTAAATCATTTTGGATTCTGAATCAGTTTTTAAACATGTAACAAAGAAGAGACACTTTAACAAAGGGTATCTGAATGGTCAACACCTTGCAACAACCAAGACTGTCAAAGGGCTATACCTCCAACAGGTATTCACCAAAGCAAGTGGCATGCTCAAACTTTTCTACTTTCACTATCAGCCTTCTGGTATTTGAAGTTCTGTACAGTGAGAGCCAGCCTGGTATTGTGGTTAAGGTACCAGGCTAGAAACCAGGAGACTGTGGGTTGTTGGGTATAAAACCAGCTTGTTGACTTTGGGCCAGTCACTCTCTCAGCCCAAGGAAGCAGGCAATGGCAAGCTACATCTGAAATCTTTCCAAGGAACTGCGGGGAAATGTCCAGGCAGTCACTTGAAGGCATCTCTAAGGAACATGGGCAATTTCTAAACCCGATAAACAAACAAACAACAAACTAAAAAAGCAAACAAAACCAAATCCAACAATGATCTAGCGTTAGACAAACATATACTTTCATACATTTTTCCCTAAAAACCTTTCTTATTTAATAAAAGTCAACTGATGATTAATGCTTTTCATTAAAGAGTAAAGGCTTGTAAAGTGATCTCATGAAAGCAGACATGCAAATAATAGTAAAAAAAAAAGTGGGATAGAATAGCATTATACTGTAATCCAAATTAGATATGATTAAAATCAGAATTAACGACGTGCTTTAAAGACTCCAGCAGTGAAGTGGGATATAAATCCACAATGGAAATTAAAAAAAAAATCCTTTTGATTCTGGAGTTCCTGAAATGATTTATGGAAAATGAAGCTGAGGGAAGAAATGCATAATGCCTTTTGAGGGTAGAAAGGCCTATTCTACAAAAATTTATGACTGTGTTATAATAGTTAAGGCCTGGACTGGAACCATTGGAGTCCCAGATTTTACTCCTGGAAGCTCCTGTAATGACATGGGGCCAGCTTCTATCTCTTTCTGCCAAGCCTCCCTCAGAGAGTGCTATGTTTGCTGCCTTCACGGAATGAAAGATGGGATATCAATCTTGTAAGGAGATAAAAACATATTCATATTGCCTGCCAGTCACCGGAGTCTATGAAGCACATGTGTTGTGCCCAAAGTAGGGCATCTCCTCACGCAAATCCCAATCAATCGATTATGGTTATGATAGCCGCAAGACTTCAAGACTGCAACTTCAAACCAAATAAATTACACTCAAATGTAGGCCCATGAGCGAATGTACAAGAATGCCCCTCCTCCCTAATTTCTTTGAAGGTCTAATTATCTGGATAACTTTGTCCTTCCCCCAGGTTGCTGTTTTCATGGGCAAAAGGACAAGACTGATTCTCCTAGCTGGGAGGACTTCCTGCTGTTCCAAGGTTGAAGACCTTACAAGGGAGATAATGGAAACAAAGACTAGCAAACAGACTGAAACAATTTCCAACCAGTATTTCCTTAGTCAGCTCCTGCCATTCAGGGCACCAGATGCTCAAACCGTACTGTGATCAGGCTTCATAAGAGTGCCATTCCATTAAGCTAATCGAAACCATTCAAACAATCAACCTGGCACACTCTTGCTCCCTGCTCAGCCGCTGGCATGCCAAAGCCTTCTGGAGGGCAAACTGTGTGTTTTTTTAAAAATTCCAAGACCAAATGAACCTTAACTATCAGGATAGAAAGTTTTCATTTTTTCTATTTTTGCCTTTCACAGAAACTTTCTTAGTGAATGAGTCTGCTCCAAGTCTAATGCTCAGTTCACATGCACACCTGAATCTGTGGAAACTTAAAAAGACTACCGTACTTTTCCTTCCAATTTGATATCAATTATACGAATTTGAACGTTCCCAATTCCTAGGATGCTCTGGTTTATCTTTGCAGTGGTGACTGAAAGGATGGATGCAAAAATATGTCTGTCTTCCCTGTTCTTCTTGCATCCCATAAATGTCATTTATGCAGCAACATTTTTTTTTGAAATAGGAAATAATTTCCTTGGATTGATTTCATTTTAGCAAGCATTGCCTTGCTGGAAACATTTACGGGATACACCGCCGCCATCTTGCCTAACTCATTATCCTCCAGATATGTTGAGACTATAATTGGGTAAGCATTCTGGAAGTCTAACCCATCTGCAAGGTGCCAAAATGGGAAGGCAATGCAACCTACTCACCAAAGCTCCATTAGAACAACAGAAGCACAGAATTGAATTCTTTCAGTTAAAGTTAAAGGTCTTAGGCTTTAACCACTTATTTAACCAGTAGACTGATTCACTTAAGGCCATTCACTCTCTCTCAACCCTAATGAAGGAGACAATGGGAAACCGCTTCCAAAATGAGTCCATGTGGTGACAAAGATTCAACCATAGACACAAAACAAACTCTGGAAGGATTTAAGCCAGCAAGTCCAACCTTCTGCTATCTGCAGGAATCCAAATCAAACTATCTCCAATAAGATGGTTTGATGGTGGGATGGATGGCACATAAATTTAATGAATAACCTGGCTCTCCATCCTCTGCTTGAACACGTTCAGGAAAAAGAAATCTACCACCTGTGAGTAATTGGCTCCACTTATTTGTTATCTGTCACATTTAAAACTATCTCCTATGAAAACCAATCTCAAATCATTTTCCAAATTATAAAATGCAATAATGAAACAAGAAATGAAAACAGTACAAAACAGAACTAATTGAAAATGTCCTGGTGGAGAAGAAAAAATAGAAGCAAAAGACCGTTCCATGCACCATTTATAACAGGGAAGGCCTGTCCCAGATGGAACAATAAGTCTCCCCCCAAACTGTAAAGGATATAATAATGTCACGATAATTTCAGAAAGGTTCTGAGTGTAAGTACTACCATGAAGAAGGCCCTCCTTGGCTAATAAGGCATCACTGTGTAATTCTGGTGCCTAGCCACTGACACAAAATATTTACATGCCAAAAGCCGACTCCTGAACTTGGCTCAAAGAGTGATGGGTAAGTGGGATGGTCACTTCATTAGCAAACAAAGTAATATGTGCATGCCTGATGCCCAATCCGGTGAGGTGGCATTCTAGACCAGTAATACAGTAATCAAAACCCCTTTTTGCTACTGGATCTCTGCAACTAGTATTCATTAGCACTCCTCTCTTCCCTCTGTGGTCTCTTTCAAGCCATCATAATGAAAACTGCCAGCAGTGTCTTCTCATCTCCATACCTTCTATGGTTTCCTTTGTATGACTATGGCTCCTGATTTTAAAAGATGTGTACCTGCCATTGCATTGGTTGGTTTCAATATTTTATATTGGATTTATATTTATTTATTTATCAATGTACTTATTATTTAATCATTAATTTATACTGAATAAAACATCCAACATGCTTTTGCTTCCTACTGTTTAACAGAGGCTCTCAGTTTCTTCTTTAAAAGTTTTATTATCTACATGATAATCATATTGATTGTCTTTATTTCTGTGGATGGGGAACACTTAAAAATATTCCAAAATCTATTAATTAATGAAGAGAAGCATATCAAGAGATTGATAGAATTAAGCACTATTTATTGTGGGGAGAAGACATGATGGTTCAAAGAACCTTTTACTTGGAGGTGCTTTCATCAATGGGTTTTCCCACCTTGGATATGTAGCAAAGGAGTTTTCATCGGCAGCTTTCAAACAGTCTTCAAGGGGACTGATGTCTCTTCAGACATTTTTTCCCCCCACCTGACACAGATCTTTCCATTTTGCTAAACCTTTTCACTTTAGATAAACTGCTTATTCTGGCTAATGCTGCTTTTATAGCAGTTTAAAAAAATAAAAATGGCACAGCATTTTGATGCATTCAGTCTTGTTCTTGAGCTGAACTCTTTTATGCCGCAGTTAAACTTACGGTATGATATATTGAAAAGAAAAGTGGGGGATTGGGATTACATCAAACATTCCTCTTTGTTTTCAAGAGGTTTCTGAGCTTTCTAGGCAACCTTCAACATATTGGACTATTCTTGGATGAAAAGGTCCCCATACGAAGAAGATGGATGAGGATGGAGGGTGTGTGAGGAAACTTTCTTTTTGTCCTATGGAGCTTACGGTATTTTTTTCTTCTACATCTGGGCAGTGGAATGAATACAGAGGGGGATTCAGTGGAGTTTTCTCTAGCTGTAACTGAAGCACAGAGGAGGAAAATTGTCTCAGTGAAGGAAAAAGAAGAGCTGTGGCAAAAGGCTTTACATTCAAGAACAGACGAATTACATCTCAATATGCAGATTACTATTGCCACATATCTATACATGAAATCGAGAACTTGACAATGCCCCCTCCCTCCACCCCAAATTTCATGCAAAAACAGGATCTGGATGTGAATATTTCACCATCGATAACTGCTTGTGTTCAGTCATCAACACAATATACCCAATTCCAAGGGACCCGTTATCAGCAACATTTATAGATCTGAAAATTACACTGGTGGCTGCAGTTATCTAAAACGATGTCTTCTCTCTCTCTCTCTCTCTTTTTGTCTTGTCACAATACTTTATTCTAACATGGAGGTCAGCAACACAGGTCCTGAAGATGCTGGCGAGCCAGTCAGTTTAGACTTTTGG